AAGTAAAAAATAAAAATAAAAAATATAAAAAAATAAAAAATCACGCAATAAAAGACGTTAAAAAATGTGAAAAAATTCAGATACAGTTCTTTGCATGTTGTCTATATGTTAGATATTTTTGCCGATTTTTATAATACATCGGGCCAGAATATAGGGAAAAATATGCTAAAAAACACCTTTTTTTTCATTTTTGACAATGTCGCACCATTTATAATAAGAAAATACATATATGATCACTTAAAGTATCTAAAATTACAACTTTTAATGAAAAAAAATCTGGTGTACCGTCTTCAACCTAAGAGTTACAGACATTTTAAAACTTTTCAATTTTTTTTAACTATGAAATTGTGCAAATTAAATTTGAAAAAATTTGAGCACATTCTCTATATCTTGAAGTTTAAGTATGAATTTTTTCAAATGTTTACAAGATACTGTTATTAAGAAATAAATTAAAATGTAAAAAATGTGGTTTTTTGGGCCCCCCGGAGGCGGGAGGAGGACGGGCGGGCGGTAAAATGATGCAAACTTTCTTTTTCCGGCATAGAAACATATTTGCAACATTATTTTCCAAAAAGCGTTCCAGTGACATTTCACCTATTATAATGCGAAATACCCTTTGTCGGTGGGCGAGAGAGATAGACTACAAGAATAATATATGCGAGGATATAGTAATAAAACAATTATATTTGAAGAAATATGATAAAGTAAGACTAATTACATTGGTGACGTAATTACAAGTAATCTCCGGAGCTTCGCTCCTTCGCTCTATTCGATACTCTCGGTGCTCGCACAGAGAGTCGCTAACTTATTTCTAACACCGAACGCCGGTCATACGCTATAGCACGAGCCCCGACCTTCCCCGCGGTATCTTCCGACGGTGTCAAACGCCCGCCCCTCGACAACCGGCAAGAACCCGTACCCGCTGCACTACCAGCCTTCCGAATGTGCAACGCCGGTACGCGGCCGAATGCAGTTTCGGAAGTTCGGCGCGATTCTAACAAGCGTCTCTATGCGACACGACTCTACGCGAATCCCGGAAACTGACTCTAATCGGTAACGCAACAACTGGAAGTTAACTCAGCAACGCAACAATACGCGTTCTGACACGAACAGTACAGTGCTCGGTAACGCAATTACAGTGAGCGCTTTACGCGACGCGATACTGAACGATAACGCGACTACACTACGCGTTTCAACGCGACCCTACTC